GGAGCCCTGTGGGGTGCCCGGGGGCTGCCTGCCCGCACCCCCGGCTCTCTCCTCCGCACCGCTCCGTGCTCTGGGCAGCCGTCCTAAAGCGTTCCGGCGCGGGCGGAGAACGTGAAATCTGCGGGTAGGCTGCCCTCGGCGGACGGGCAAGGTAGACGCGAGCGTCGCTGGGCAGGAGGAGGTAAAATCTGGGGGAGAATCTCGGGACAGTGCTGCCAGGAGGAGTCCTCATTTCTGGACACTGCGGCAACACTGCTCCCGCGGCCGCCGGGCCCGGCCACGGCCAGCTTGGTCAGGGAAGGTCCTGCGGGCCGCCCATGCACTTGCTAGCAGAGGGCACCGGCATTTGCAATATAGGATGAAGTAGACAGATTACATCCCCCAGTTACTGTGGTTGCACTCCCTTGTGTTTCCGGAATATATTGGCGCTCTGCTGCTGGCGAGGTGCCTGGAGCAGACTGCAAAGTTCCAGATGTGGTCCTGCGTGCTAGGTACCAATGAGAGATGCCTCCCCCTTCACTCTCCAAAGTGTGTTGTGTTAGCACATCCACTGCTCCAGCAGCCAATGCATGCTGTCATTCAAAGGCCACCCTCCAGAGCCAAAGCCATATAGCTGTGAGCCTGCAGGCCAGCACCCAGTATGGTTATAGGCTGCTTTCTGGACATATAGTCTCTGCATGCCTGAGCTTACCGTCAAGGCCAAAAGTGAGATAGCCATGAGAGCCAGAGCAGGGGAGTTCAGGAGTGTGCTGGGATCACAAGTATCCCCTGTGCTCTTTAAGAGTGGAAGAGACAATAGCGCTATCTGCCCATCCTACCCTGCCTCTGAAGTACCAAAGAACCACACAAAAGAGACCATGTCCTCAGTGTCACACTGCTTCCCTCAAAAGAGCAAGTAGTAGGAAAAACACAGCTCTGCAAAATCTCAGTATTGCAAAAATATTTGAATAGACTACAGCGTGAGGGTGTATTTGCTTTAAAACACAAGTAGGCAGAGCAGGCTGAAATACAGTGTAGGCAACCGATCTACTCAGGCAGAGGGAGGAAGGATTAGATGAGCTAATGATTCTTTCTTGGCTCTGCTCCTACAAAAAGTGCCAGGGGATCTCTAGCATCAAACCAGAGCAAACAGGAATTTAAAGTGGTATCAAGAAATAGTACCATAACCTGCAAGGGACTCAACTTTGGGAAGTTTATCAACTTCTGAAGGACCAATGTTGAGTTAGCCCTTTTGCTGAAACATGTTGATTCCCCATGTTCTGCTGTTTGAAGCAATGATTTTATTTTTTTTGTTTTCACCTCCTTGAGTGGCCATGGGCTGTGTCGGGAAAGCAGGTTCAAGTGTTGCTTTAAAACCAATGACTAAGAGGAGACAAGACTAAGGTGTGTAAAATAACGGACAGAAAAGAGTAGGTAAAGCAGACTCTGCTTTCATCCCTTTCAGTTCTATGTGAACAAAGAAACAGTCAATAAAAATTGAAAGAGGGTTGGTGAAAGGCTATACTTTCACCAGTGGGAAAATGGCAAAGGAAATACTAGTCTTAAACTGTACCCAATTAGCTTATGGAATTCATTATTGAAAGATAACTTTGGGACCAACAGCTTAACAAAATCCAAGAAGCAGGAGCTTTTGTACGCTGTTGGGAACCAAACCTTCAGATATAGCTACCAGAGCCTGAAACACTCCTGGTCCATCACAGCACTGTTAGCAGTTGCAAGACACTGTTTTCCAGAGCAGCCTTGGAGTGTGTTGAAGCTGTGTGAAGGAGGGAGGGAGCACTGGGACTTCCTCTGGGCTGGTTATGCAGCCCAGGGGTTGAAGAAGGACAGAGGAGAAGCTCTTTGATATAGCGGTTGCCCTTGTAAATGTTTATGCTTTGGTGAAGGCCTCTGGGGAATCAGCTATGCTGAAGTATGTCCAAGAAACGCAGAGAACAGATTTCCAGAGGCACAGGAGTTAAAGTTTTAAAATAAAGCAAAACTAACCAGAAACTTAGTACAGTTGTAAGCTACTGTGACTTATCACCCAGGCTAATCCCTAGCAGATGAGCACCAGGAGAGAAGTTTTCCCTAGTGCAGATCTGCTTACTGCCTGGTCGTGTTTGCCCTCTCTTGCCTGTGCCCTTTGCGAGACCCACCGTACAGGAATAGCTGGAAAGGCACAGCATGGCTCTGGCAGTGTCCCGCCACTCCCTGTCCCTGACATGCCTCCCTGCCCACGTAGGACACTTACTCATGCAATCACCTCCGTACCAGCCAGCTCTGCACTGTGCACAGTAGATCCCTTTGATGTAGAAGTCATCAAGTGTCCCTCCCCAGGAGCCGTTGTGGCAGGACTTGCAGTTCTCAAAAATGGTGCAGCCTGAAAGAAGAGCCACTGCATTAGAGGAAAGCCAACGTGGATTGTCCTGTGTGGAGAGGAGCGGCTGTCTCTCTTTTCCACAAAAAATGCCAACAATGTTAATGACTGCTGCTGTGCTGACAGCTTCCCCACTGTAAACCATACCCAACCTCCACCCCCAAACCCTAGGCAGCTCATACTCTGTGACTGGGAGCCAAACTCCCAGCTTGACTTGCCCAAAGCTCTAAATCTCATTACTCTGACTGTAAATGCCTCTCTCAGGAGTCTGAATGTGGATGTTGGTGCTGCTCCGACAAATGCCAAGTGATTCTGATGTCTTCTAACCTGGTCCTGTCTCCTCCTGCTCTCACCTTTCACTTTGCCAAGTGTCTTGCTGCCGTCACCAGAGTGGCAGAGGGAGTTCTTGAGGAGATGCGGGGCAATGCCATGCCTGCCTTCATTGCTCCCTGCCCAGCAGCTACCATTACATGCTGATGCCTTGGCCAAAGATCTGGTGCGAATGCAGTGTGGCCCTAAACATACCTGGGTGAATTAAGCAGGAGTCACACTCATTATCCTCGTTCCTGCAGCAGGGAATGGTGTAGCCCACTCTTTCTTTCTGTCCTGGGCAGATGCACTCAATTTGGTCGTATTCGCAGCACTCCCGACACATGATATTCCACTCAGCACCGGGGCAGTTTTCATTGATCACTGTGTACTCTGCAAGTGGGGAACATATAGGGGAACATGCGGAAATAATCCATTATCTGCCGAGGATTGACAGGATCCTATCAGTGATTTGTCAGGTCATATATGGCGTGAGGCTGGCCAAAGTCTTCAGCCCAGGAAATCCCAAACAATGTGGTGACACGTGGCTGAAATGTCAACTCAGTTTGGGTGTCTAAAGGACACACAGGCAGTTGGGGAGTGCCAGCCAGAGGAGGCAAACAGACCAGAGGGAAGGAATATGTCCACTTCAGTCTTTTCTCTGCAAGGCCTTCCCACTTCTGTGGTGAGAAAAATAGTTTGAAAAAACCACAGAGGACAATATCATGTGAGAAACTCTTATTCGGATTGCAGGAGCCATTTACAGCCTTATATACAGTATAGATTATTTAAACTATAATAGCATGTTTTGGTCGTATTTCTGTTTGTGAATTTGCTGTTCTTGAAGACTAGGGTGTCCACCAGGAAAAGCCAATTTTAAGGCTCAGTTTTAGCCAGTTTCACTCCCTATTTTCACTCAGAAGCACATGGTATTACACTCAGCTTCCCTACCAAAGGAAACAAGATTTTTCATTATTTTTAAAGGTTCATTTTGTCTTGCATTTCTAATATGGTAACATCATTCATATGTTTTTATTATTTAGCATAACCTTATATGATCATATTTCTGCTAAGGGAAGTGCCCTTTTAGGGAACAACCTCAGATTGCGACTCTGGACTGCCACAGTAAGTGCAGATTCCATCTTTCATGACCAGCATGCTTTCTAAATTCTACAAAATGAAATCTAATGAGTGCATGGTGCTGTCAGCAGGTCTCCTAAGCAGCTGTCAGACCTGATGACTGCTTTCGTGGAGTTTGATGGTAAAAAGAGAGACTAGACTAGAAAGATCAGATATGAAGGAAACATAATGAGATATTTCTTTCTTCTTCCCTCTCTCTCCCCCTTTTTTCTTTTTTTTTTTTTTTTTTTTAATTTTCATTGTGGTTAGGTAAAGTCCTTTTCCCTTTTGTTTTAAACTCTGAGTAACCAGGCTGCCTTTTCATTGCAACAAGCCATACATCTCTAAGGTGCAGCACTCCTGTCCGTGCTTGTACCTGGCTCCCTTCTCACACTGCTGCTTTTTGTTTGATTATGCCTCGTTACCTAATTACTGGAGCTCCTTACCACTGAACCTTGCTGCTCTGTCTCACTTGATTTTGTGTGGCCTCATGAAGCCTGGTTCCTGGAAGCTTGTCTTTTCCCCTAATGATATTTACTGTCTCCATAAAAAAGGGACCACCATGCTGTTTCTTCATTTTTTTCCCTTTGGCTGTGAAATTAAGTTTAGCCTTTTGTGCACCTCAGAACTGAGCTTTGTCCTTGTGCCTGGTGCACTGACTGGGGAGAGTCCACTGCCACTCTGAGTTTGGAAACCAGGTGGCTGTTTGTGCTGAAACCTTTCTTTTTCCCTATTCCCCCTCCCAGCCCTTATAATCATTCCAAAAAGAAAAAGAAAGCTGCTTCTGTCATTCAGTAAGGTTCCATAATTTTTTATTCCAATAATAAATTGTTGTATCAAAATAACCTTAGTGTTTAGCAGTTGTATAGCCTTTTGTCTGCAGATCTTGACATGCTCTACAAAGTCCTTTTTCCAGATGGGAAACTGAAGCACAAGGGAGGTGAAGTGACTTTGCTCAAGGTTCCAGAGAAAAACAATAGCAGAGCCAGGAATTAAACTCATGCCTTCTAATTCCCAGAACAGCGGTCAATCAACTTGGCCAAGCTGGGACTTCTTAACCTATGGCTATTATTCTTTTTTAATGAAGCCATTTATCTATGAACTGTATCTGATTCAGATTCCAGAGCAAATTGATTACACGTGCCTAATTATCTTATTAGAAATGACACTCAGTTTGATACATCTCACTATACATGACTGAAAATAGCTGTTTCTGTGGGGTATGGGGGGGGGGGGCGTGTCTCACATCTTGTTGAAAGAGGACTCCCCAACCTCTGAGTAATAAATAACTACTCAACACTCGGGAGCTTTTGCAAAGGTTCCTTCAAATTTTCGTGTTTCTCAACTCAAGCTAGAAATTTAATTTCTCTCAAGATTGCTAAAACTTATTAATAAAGCAACTACATCCATTTGGGTTGTAGCTGTAAATTGCCCAATAGAAATTGCTATCTATAAAATGACCCAGATGTTCACAGGCAAAGTTGCACTGGGGTGACTAAGGCATGTCTCCATCCTTGCAGGAATTCAAAACCTGGCAAGGTAAGGCTGCGAGCAACACAATGTTAACTTCCAAGTTAAAACTTCTCTTAGAAAGGGGCTGGACCAGATGACCTCCAGAGGTCCCTTTCAGCCTAAATTACTCTATACTTCGGTAAATTACACATGTAGCTGTCAGTGTATAGAGAATATGTATGTGTGCATATGCATATTTATTTTTCTATGTAGAGCTTGTGTACACACCAGGGCCAAGAAGCAGTTGCCATATTTATTCTTGGTGAATCAAATGGGTGTATTTGTAGCATAAGTTGAGGTTAAGGCAATATTTAGCATTAAGAGGGGAGCAGCAGATCTTCACCCTTAAAGAACTGTAAAAACACATTTCCTGCCACCTAGAAATGCTGTATGCTCCTTTCTTGCCCTTGTCTCAACTGAGACAATAAAATTAGACTGTCTTTTGATTTTCTGACAATTTAATTCCCTTTCAGGTTCTCAGGTGCTGCAGTTTGGATAGCACATATATCCTTGACAAGGAAGTTTGTGTATTTGAGATTTTTTTGAAGTGTTCTGCTCTAGGATTTCTTCCCAGAAATCATGAAATCTATTATTCTGAACTTTTGTGGAAGCTATTCTTTAAAGAAATTTGAGTGGAGACTTTATGCACCTCTAATAACAGTAGGATCCCTTTTGTTTTGTATAAGTATCTTTCCCTCAGAAATTTAAGAGGGTGATGCACAGAGCTGCTAGTGTGTGTAATGAACATTTGTTTGTGTTACTGAGCTCAGCCTGGGCTCCAGGGAGGAAGAGGCATAACTGCGCTCCCCCTGTGTGTTTGGGGAATGGTAACCACTAGCAGCTCACCACACCCGCACTTGGCCATTATTACCCCAAAACAGAAGAGAATGAGGCAGAGAAGAGCAGGCGGACATTTACTGACTGAGTAAAATACTGGAAGCCAGGTTTTGCCCAGCTGTGGCAGAGATAATTGTGGGGTTCTTTGTGGGCCTGACTTTGTTAATCCTCCAAAGCAGGCAGTTTGGCTTGCAGGCAGTGGCTGCATCTCCCAGCATCAAACACAGTCCAGAAAGTGGTTTGACCTGATTTTGGGAGAAACAGGAAGAAGCTGCTTGACAACCCATGCAAAATATTTAGCTGAAAAGAACAAACAAGTGTCTGGACAGGCAAATAAACAGTGGATTAATTTATGGGATTTTAACAATGGAAGAAAAGCCCACATAAAAAACACCCATGGAAGCAACTCAAGACCATGGAAACCAAGCAAGAAATGGCTGTGTTGGGAAGGCATGCAAACCTATGGGGAAGGTGCTAGAGGGAAAACCCACTTGGCTCGGGAGCCTGGCAGAGCACAATGCAACATTTCTCCTGATGCTTTGAGTCCACCCTGAGTGACAAGTGAGGTGGGAGATGAGCACTGAGGCAGACGCAGAGTGGCTGGTAATTCTCTTGCATTTCCAGGTTCAGGTGGCAACATGTTCATCTGTTCACTGACATCTGCACCCAGTGAGACTGCCTAGTCCCTATAGTGCATCCTAAAGACTGTCAGTGATGGATTTTGTAAGACAAGGAGGGGATGTTACCAGTCAACATCCTCCCTGTTAGCAGTGTCAGTCTGAGGGCTGAGTTACAGCAATGGCAATTAATCAGTGATGCTCCCCTGCTCCCCAGTGGTGAGCCAGGGCTTTGGAGGAGCCAAAGGCTCTTCACTTTCGGAAGACCTCCCCACTAACAGGTGGTCCCTGAGCTTCCTCTGTGAAAACTTGCACATGGGTGATGAGCCGCAGCAAGAAGATACAGCAGGACTGCATGGCACCCTTCCACACAGCTGGCTGATCCTGCTCTGGCCTCTGCTGAGCTGGCACTGGGAGCTGAGCTGCTGAAAAGTAGATGGAGAGCATCTACAGAGAAGCTGGCACTGAATGAAATGCACAGCCAATTTGCTGAGTTGTTTAATGCTTACTGACTTCCCTGTCAGTAACAGGACTTCAGTTTCTCCACAGATCTTCAAAACTGCAAACGCAAAGCTTTCAGACTTTGCTCTTGATTTTTACTTGGATCAGTGTTTGCCTTTTTAAAAGTGGTGCTTGTCTACCTCCCTCTGTACCATAAACCCACAGAAGCCAGTGAAAGGAAGAAGTTGAAGTAAGTTATTCTAGCAATAGCTTGAAGGGTAAATAGTTTTAATCTGCTGGACTATCAAGCTTCTGTCACTCACTTCCTTTGTGAAGCTGGAGCAAATCCAGCTCTGATTTGATGTGCCAAGCTCACCCACATCCCTCACTTTCTCTGTCCCAGAATTCCCTTTTCAGCTTCTTATTTTTGCTTCACTTTTTCAAAACGTGCTGACTTCCTTGGCTAAGATGTGCTTGGGCAGCCTGGTGTGCAGCAGAGGAGCTTGAACAGTTAGTGATGTAGTCATCTCCCTGACACAAATGTGTGTGGTTTTCCTACCATCCTCATGGTCTGGGCACACATGACTCCGTTATCTCTGTCCTCACTAAACCTCAAACACCTTCCTGTTCCAAACTGTAGGACTTCAGAAAATGAGGTGACAAAAACCACACAAGAAATTCTTTTGTTGGCACTTGGGAAGGGTCATGATGGAGGTTTAACACAAACAGTTTTTGAAATTGAGTGGAAATGCAACCTTCCAAAAAGGTAGTTTTCACTGCACCATTCTGAAAAGCCAGAAGTCTCCTCAGAAGATAAGTGAAGGCTCCATTAGCACTCACCCTGAAGACTGGAAATATGTTACTTAT